TCTAATCCCTTCTGGCCAAACTAGTGTAGATGGGCTTTAATGGGATAGTACTCTGAGGTAAATCATTTAAAGGCTTATTAGGTGATTCGCTACATTTAAGGTGGTGTACCTACTGTCAATCAACAATATTTAAGCGCTTCGTTTGCCATTTATTTTTACGAATGATAGCCTATGATAACAAGTTAGTTTTCTAGAAAGTCCAATTTATATTTAAGTAATAGAGAGACTATATTTGTTAAAGAATATGTCTATACTGACACTCATTTCATAGGTACTATTACTCAATGTAAATTCATTTTTCATTTATTTCCTTTTCTGTCTCTGTCCTCGTCTATTCTTCTCTTTCGTTTTTATATTTATTGTGGATTTTCTATACGGCGTATTCGGAAAACAAGACTCATTTTAATTCATGCCTGCTTGTGTTACTGTTGTGTTACTGTTAACATTTTCTTGAAATTACTTATTTCATGATATAAGTAGGCTATAAAAATGTTTTACTTGGGTATTTTGTTGATATGAAAAAAGATTTGGAAGACAATGAATAGAAGGATTTTGAAAGATTGTTGATATCCCCTCTATCTGTGAGTGACCGGTTTTACCATACTCGTTTTCCCCAATAGACTGTATAGACTTCGGCGAACGGTTTTCAAAATGTGTAATTCCAATCATTAATATCTTGATAATCAGACGGGCGATCGGCTTGTAAAACTCATGGAGTTCCTGACTGACCTAAAGGTTTATAATTATCATTGAAGCATGAGCTAAATCAAGGATTATTTCTAAAGGATCTATAAGACAAAGTTACCGGATCCCTTTATAGCTCATATGCGGAAATGTCGTCGATATCATTTATAATGAGCCGAGTTTGTCAATTGGACACTTGTGTGAAGTACAGAAAGCGAAACTGTGTGACAAGAATATACAATGTAAGGTTTAACAATTCGTGATGGCGACAGAAAAGATGGCGCATTTTTACTTGCATGCAATGTGTAATCGTAGGTTTCTGAGGCGGTGAAGGGCCTTGCCACCGCCACATATCAATTTTTTTTTAAATAGACAATTACGTTCTTTTCATGTTCTTTCATCTGTTGCTCATAATCGGTCTTTCAAAGGATGTTTATCTTTTTTTCGTATTCATTTTGATTTTATTATTCTTGTTATATTTTCTGTGAGTTCCTTTCATATCGTTTCGTTTGAATGTATCGTTATATTTAAACGTCTATTCACGGCATTCAATGCTGGAAGGCAACTACTTTCTCGATGAAGAATGGTTAGACAAAATTGAGCCCCAAGAAGTCATCTTAAATTGACCAGCTACAAGCATTTCAGTGCTCTTATTATTGTACCCCTTTTCTTTGTACATTTCAGAATGTATAACAAATTCATTTGGTGAATAAATAATAGTAAATAATATACATTTCTAAAGCGCTGTTTTTGACCAAAAAATGCCTTTCAAATAATAATAATAATAATATCTAGCTCTTATATAGCGCTTTTCAAGACCAAAGGCCCTCTCAAAGCGATTAACAGATATGTATATTATTACCCCGGTCATCGGATTCAGGCTACCCACAATGTATGCACATTCTCCACTCCCTGGGGAGCATTCCAGCCAGGCGCACACTTGCTAATCTAAGCATATTCGCTTTCGCATCCTACCGGGTACCCATTTTACACATGGTGGAGAGTGGCGAATGACATTAGGACATTAGTGCCGCGGTGGGACTTGAACCGGGGACCTTGTGATGCACAGTCCAGTGACATATCCACTCGTCCACGACACCTCAAAGCACTAGTTATACCTTCATAGATTATAACCAACACTATAAACATGATGGACAAAGAAAGAGGACAACAATATACAGTTCCTCATTCTACCCTAAACAATTGTTGTGGTAGACAAAGGAACATCCCTTCACTACTATTATGTAAAAAAAAATGTGTAGAACAGGTGTCACATGCATATTTACCTGTTCTACTTATTGTTTACATAATAGCAGTGAAGGGATGTTTTTTGTGTACCACAGCAATTGTTGAGGGTAGAATGAGGAACTAGTTATTGTTTTGTCCTCTTTCTTTGTCCATCATGTTCATAGTGTAATAGATTACAGGCTATACATTCCAAGTCAAATCTTTGGTAATACAAAATGAGTAGGTCTGAATTAACAGAAGCTACAGTTGTACTTTCAAGTGAGGAAGGTAGACGATGGATGATCTCCGGTTCAGAATATTGTGTACAAAATGGTAGGAAAATTTCAAAGGCCAAAGATATCGACAAATTCCCATTATTCTCCTTATCTGTAACCAATGGGAAGTGACTAGCATTCATACACCGATATCGATATTTATAACTTACATTGATCTCAAAATATTGTAAACAACAGATACAACAACAAAAATGAGTTGAAAGGTAAACAGAGCAAGCTAAAAATTAATTCGTGTACAGTACGAAAAATGGGAATGCTTATTACTAAATAGACATCTCTTGTAGAAAAATAAGCCAAACCCTACACAATGAAAGGCTGACTTAAATGGTGCTGATATGACTCTGTACTGAATATTTTTAATGAAAATGTCATACAACGGATTATCATTCAGTCTAGCACTGGCATTTTAAACAGTTACAATGAAGTGAGTGTTGTTTTCGGCACAATTTAATGCTCATATTGTCCCAAATCTTCATAATGATCTGGAATACATGAATATACCTATTTTAATTTGTAATTTCATAGGTTTCAAGATTTGCAAGCTTACCCTACAACATGACCCTTCTGAACTTTCCCATCACAAAATATTACAATAATTCACGACGACCTTTGAAAAGTACTATTATAGGGAAGTGATCTATATTTTTCAAACTCAAGAACAGAATAAGTATGGTTGTTTATATATCACAAATTGGGTGATTTTCATTCACAATCAACAAAAATATTCAATACGTAAATCACATTTCGGCTCTATCCTCTTTTGCTCATGTTAGTTATGACTCCCTGATCGACATTGCGTATTTTCTGAAAATGGATACAACCACACAAGCTGCATCCTCACCATTAACACATCTGTATATCTATTATACACCCAGCAACAAAATGGCGACTTGAAATAGAATTAGAAATGATACTGATCTCATGATTTGAATTATACCAGCAGTAAGAACGTACTACACAGCATTCAATAATACTATTCCTGTCAAAACAAACCCCAATATAAATGTTGCTGGGACTATCGCGCTAACAGATGAAAAACAGGTTAGATTTACCTTGATTATCTGTTTAAAGTGTCTGCCTCAAACCAAGTCCTTTTATGATGCTGAATAATCGCACACACTGCAGTAGATATTATAATACTGTGAGCGGTATTTACAATAGGAAATTGATCCCGGTTTTGTATGGAGTGAGTGTTTTTTATTCTGACTCATTCAAGGAAGTATTTGATGAAATGAAATGAATGAAGTTAATGACAAAAAAAAACATTGGACGGATGATCAGTGTAGCGGGCGCTCAACTTGCCTTAAATCTATCTTTAAAAACATATTGAAATATGATTCCAGATTTATCATAAAAATCCCCATTTGGTTTGATTTCAAAATTCGAAAGAAGAGGTAATTTAATTGTATACCACGTATTCATCAAGGTTCGTGTATGTATGAAGTGTGGCAATCGATGATCTTCTCCAGACCCCACCCCCCCCCCCTTTCTCTCTCTCTCTCTCTCTCTCTATCCCCTCTCTCTCTCTCTCTCTCTCTCCCCTCTCTCTCTCTCTCTCCCTCTCTCGCTGTCTGTCTCTCTCTCTCTTTCTCTCTCTCTCCTTCTCCTTCTTTCTTGTCTCTATTTTTTTTTTCTTGGTCTCTCTCTACTTTTGTCTCTCTTGTCCTCTATTTCTACATGCCATTCCTCTATTTCTCTTGATATGCGTGTGTGTGTGTGTGTGTGTGTGTCTCTCTCTCTCTCTCTCTCTTTCCCTCTCCTTCTCTAATCATCTCTTTGTTTCTTCCATTTTCTTGGTCTCTTCATTTAAGATATTTCTGGTTTCACTCTCTCTCTCTCTCTCTCTCTCTCTCTTTCTATCTCTTGATCCCCTCGTTCACCTGTCTTTGTCCCTCTCATATCTCATCCTCGTTTTCTTCCTTCCATTTCTCTCTCATTCTGTTTTCTTCTGTCTCGTATTCACTCTACCCCCCCCCCCCTTTTTTTTCTTAAATATGAAAGTCTCTCTGTCTTTCCTTCCATTCCTTTCTCTGTCTTGATCCCTCAGTCTACCTCTCCCTCTTTCTCTCTCCGTGGTCAAATTTGCGATGGTGGATTAATATCAAATGATCAAAATATAAACGTTTATTGTAAAGATGATACGTTTACCGCAGGCTCTTCCTCAGTGAATGATACAAATACAACAGACATTGGATATAGAAGTACGAACCCTGTATTACAAATGTTATCAATAATATTGCGTGGATGATTGGTGCGGGGGTGCGTCATGAATCTTGGGCATGCAGAAGTATTGAAAGCGCCCTTTTGCCTTCTTTTAGCAACACCTTTTCATTCAATTTCATACTTTTTTTTCATTCATTTACGTCCATAAAATTCCTAATCTTGCATATCTTATAGTCAATTTCGTCTCTAAGGGTCATTCACTTTCGAGCTTTGTCCAATCAATTTCATCAGTTTGCATCCTGTTTCGTTGAAGTCAGAGATCGTTCCCCATCTTTGGCTACCCACGTTCAATCGCATCAAGCATATCATCACTTGCAATCTATTTCGTCAAAGCGCCATTCAAATTTGTAACTCGTTCGTTATAAGTTCTTGAATGAAATTACTCTCTTGAAATTGGAAGCACGAAGCCGAATTTGATTATCACAATCTTCAGCGGACCGTCAGGTGCGACGAATCTGAAAGAAATCTAACGAAAATTCTTTGGACAAAACTTAAGTGCTCAAAGATGAATTTGAAAGAAAATAAGTATTAAAATTGACGGAAAATCCCATGTTTAGACAAATGATCGTGAAAACATTCTAATTGATAATTCTTTACATAATCTGGTTTCAAAAACAAATAACATTATCACATAAACGTCCCAGCACTTCTAAATCTAGAATTGGCGTTCATATTGGAGTAAAAGCAAATAATCTTTGACACCATGCAGCATATAAATATTTTGGATAAGCCTACAGTGTTGTTACTGTGGCATACAATATTTAGAATATATTGTAACGAATGAAAGGTCATACCCCACATGACCATCAACAAATAATTGCATCGCCTGGATTTTCCTTTCAAAGTCATCCCCCTCGGAGAAAAACTAAATCATTCAATGTAGGAGGAATCAATAATGTCTAATTCAAAAGAAAGTATTTATGAGTTAATTTTATTTTAAACTAAATTGTATAGTGTAACTGTACAATAATTTTCAGCTGCAGCTTCCTACATTGTCAGCATTGTCCAAAGGAAAATCTGCCGATGAAGTATGGATTGACGATTTTCATTTCTGCGGCAGATTGTCTGTATGTCCTGGGTTCTACCTCCCTTGGTTGTTTGGAAGGATAAGGGGCTGGTAGAATTGGTGCGAGTTAGTCTGTTGTGGTGTAGCGTTAGTCTCCTGCTGTGGAGGTGTTTGCTGATGCTGGAATGTCTGTTGATTTGGGAAGGCCTGCTGGGGCAAGTGAACTTGTTGCGCTGTGGGTGTCTGTTGCGGTAAAATAGACTGCTGCTGTGGATAAGTCTGCTGATGCGGGAATATCTGTTGGTGTGAGAATGTCTGCTGGGGCAAGTGAACTTGTTGTGGTGTGGGTGTCTGTTGTTGTATACGAGTCTGCTGATTCGGGAACGTCTGTTGCGATACGTGAATCTGTTGTATACGAGTCTGCTGATTCGGGAACGTCTGTTGCGGTACGTGAATCTGTTGTATACGCGTCTGCTGATTCGGGAACGTCTGTTGCGGTACGTGAATCTGTTGTGGCGTGGGTGTTTGTTGCTGTATACGAGTCTGCTGCGATGGATTAGTGTGCTGATGTGGGAATGTTTGTTGCGGTACGTGGATCTGTTGCGGTGTGGGTGTCAGTTGCAGTTGCTGTTGGGCGGTGCTGTAAGGAGGTGGTTGGTCCGTTGAAACGTACGACAAACCTTGTTGATCTAAAAATATGAATATAAAAGATTGCTATTTGTAGCTTCTAGACTGCAAATTCCTACCCCCCCCCACCCCCATCCTCTATCCATTTTAAAAAGATTATGATGATGATGATAAGTGATTCTTAACGCCCCTTTCCTCTAAACTTATGTTTCTGGTATTATATTTATTTCTAGTTGTAGAAATACAACACTGTTTCACTGACCTACATGTACATACATGCTGGTGATTAGTACAAACGTCATTATGGTATTTAAGTCAGGGGACTTCACAATAAAGTCAAAATGAAGTTATCTCGCAATTGTCAAATGCTATACCCTCCCCAATTCAAAACTTATTGATGTTTATCATTAAGGCTTTACTTACGTGTTGAGACAATCGCAGGGTATTGGTTGACCTGCAGTAAAAGGAAAAGTAAATAAATTCTTTTCAATTGATACCTCCATACTTTTTCTTGAAGTGGGAACTCCATGAGAAACAAAACAATACATTTGTTACAAGCCCATTTGTTTGAAGTAACAGAATACTGATTTACAAATCTGCATAAGTTATGAAAATTACATTGGCTTTAGTAAATATAAAAGCTGATAACATAAAAAGGTTCAATTCTAAAAATGATAATCCTATACTTTTTAGAATTTTTCCAGCAAAGAACGTTTAGACTTGTCAAGAATATTTATTTATCTGGACAAATATATCCGACGTGTAGAAACTCTTTTTATGCAATGTTTGAAATATTGTTTCTGTTGTAACCTGGGTTATCTTAAAGTAATATCTTGTTTTCTTACCACGTTAAATCCTTGCAGTGGTCTTGAAGATTGTGGGGTGCAACACACTCCGGAACAGCCGTAAACTGATCCTACAATAGCAACTATCAACTCGATCAACCCGATTACACTCATGATAGCATCCGAGGCAGTTCGAGACTCCTGCAAATAGAAACGAGTAAAATTTAGCTCTGCAAAACCGTCTAAAAAAAAATTGTATTGGTTTGGATAATCATAACTTGTAGTTTAAGCCTCTTATAAAAACAAAACACATCTCAGTCAGCAGTATCAAAATACGCTCTCAATACTGGACATCAGGCGCGTACGCAGGATTTTTTCAAGGGGGGGGGGGGGGTTTACATTTATAAATCGGGCCGAAAATTTCGCAACGACTCAGCCAGCCGCTGAATAAGCGGAGGGGGGGGGGGGGGGGGGGGGGGGGGGGGGGGTAAGAGGACATTTTTTTTTTTTTTTTTTTGGTCTCGAAATTTGAAAATTTGAAATTTTGCTCCGTTGGGGGGGGGGTAAGGTCACCTTTTAGGTCAGCCATGGGATTTTTTTTTTAATTAAAAAATAAAAAAAAAAAATCCAAAGGGGGGTTTTAGGGGGGTTATGGGGGGGTTTACACAAAAAAAATTACCAAAGGGGGGGTTTAACCCCCAAACCCCCCCCCCCCCCCCCCTGTGTACGCGCCTGCTGGACATTAACATTAAAGGAGCTACACAAAGAAAATTCACTAACAACTGATAATTAGAACAAATTACATATGGATGGAAAGATTTTCTCTTGAAAAACACGAATGATTTGCTGAGAAATCATATAGATATCATGGAAAGGCGTAAAATGCAATTTTTCAAGACCCTTCTTAGACCCCCAAGCGCCCCCGAACGTAAGCCAAACACACGAGCGTAGCGAGCTCTGAATAGTGACGTCACACACTGGACAAACAGCTCGGTACCTGAGTCGCGCGTGTATTAGTCTGCAGCTAGCCAGCCGTGTCCCGTGTGTGACGTCACAAATATTGACGCTCTACAAAGGCCCGCTAGAGGCAGAAAATCTGGATCTCAAAACTAATATTTTTGAGAGTTGATTACTGCGGGCCCCAAACATATTTTGAAGAGGAGAGTTGTTGTATTTGATCAGTAAGGTTTCCCCTTCGCAATGATATGAGTTTTGCATCAATTCAAACACTTTTGATTCTTCGTGTGTCTACTTTAAGAGTCACGCTTTTATCTATATGTTTAATTTGAATTTGTTGAAATGTATTGTTCCTAATCTATGAATATATGTCTGTTTCAGCCTCTCCCCCCCCCCCCCCCCTGGACATTATTATGTGCTAGTTATGTTACCCTGCCTGAGGAACTTATATTTTCATTTGTAAAACTCGGTCCTGAGTTATTCATGTTCATCCTTTATTTGAATGTTCGTTTAATAAAGACGAATTGATAAAGTGATATAATATCAGATGATAATAAATAATAACATATAATATAATATAATATAATATTAGATAGAATAATATGATATGATATGATATAAAATAATATAATATGACATCATGATACAAGGTTATATAATCTAAACTATTTACCACTAAACCTTCTTTACAGGGTATCGCGTTGCATCCACGTGATTCACTAATTGGAGCACCTATGGCCCCAATGATCATCATGTAAAATGCAAAGATGGCGGAGAACACAGACATGGTGATGTAAGCTGATATCTGTCAAAATGCGAAGATAATAATGTCTCATTTTCTTAAAAAGCGGACAGGGTTACACCTTCTGTGTGTACAGAGTTATTATGGAAAATACATAATCTTGATGAAGATGATGATAATTATAATAATGACAATAGTACTGATGATATTAAAATGCTAAGAGTAATAATCATTTTATCATAATGAGGATCTGTTGCCGATTTTTTTTTCTTCTTAAATAACATATCAAAACGTTTGGGTCACTGAAAAGTGCTTGTTTTATTAGCAGAAAATGTTCTATATGGAGTACGACATTTTTTTTTCTATATTGACTCGTATAATACGACAAAGATTATGTTCTTTCTAGCAAAGCAAACCAATTACAATTTCATTATGATTTACAACTGTGATTTATTGTTTGAGGTAGTAAATGTACTATTATTTTCAGCTCGTTTCTGTGTAAAAATCAACGGTTCGGGCGACAGAGCTTTATTACCATGTCACAATTTGGCATACCGCCCTCTTGCAACTAATTTAAAATTAGATAAGAAAGAAGAAACGAAGAAAATAAGAAAAAAGGTCAAACCTTCGCGTCATAATAATTATGAAAGCGTTTGGATCTCTTTACTTCATATAAACAAATAGATAAGGAAGTTAATTATTTTGGCAATACAATATCCCTTTTATACTGTAATGAACATTGCAAAGAGTACGTACCACACACGTTCTTTTTCTGAAACTAACAATACCAAGTACTCCAGCAGGTCCAAAGCACTGTGAAATAAATATGGAAACAAACAGTCGATGGCGTCATTCATTAACAAACTACTGTAATGTTTTTTTTTAAAACACGGTCAAGCGATATTTAACAGTTCAGATGAATAATTATAAACAATGATAAATAATATTGGTAATAAATGAAGAACAAAATAGAAGAAAAGGAGGAAGAGGAATGGAAAGTAGTAACATCAGCAGCAGTAGAAGTAGTAGTAAATAGCGACGATAATGGTAAAAAATAATACTTATAATGATAATAGCAATATAAATAATAATAGCATTTTGTTATGAAGCGCTTTTCTATTTCCTGACCAAAGCGCTTGCAGTATTATTATTATTATTAGAAGTAGTAGTAGTAGTAGTAGTAGTAGTAGAAGTAGTAGTAGAAGTAGAAGAAGTAGTAGTAGTAGTAGAAGTAGTAGTAGTAATAGAAGAAGTAATAGTAGTAGTAGTAGTAGTAGTAGTAGTAGTAGTAGTAGTAGTAGTAGAAGTAGTAGTAGTAGTAGTAGCAGTAGTAGAAGTAGTAGTAGTAGTAGTAGTAGTAGTAGTAGTAGTAGAAGTAGTAGTAGTAGTAGAAGTAGTAGTAGTAGTAGTAGTAGTAGTAGTAGCAATAATAATGATAGTGAGGTCTTGTATAGCGCTCAAATTGAATGCAAGTTTGAATGATACATGTGTAAAATTCCCTGTCCGATACGCTTATAAATAATTGCATGACAACAAACGCTGCTTGATTGAATGATTGGACATTGCATCAAAGTAACTGTAAAAAACGAAAGCGAAATAGACCAGTTCACGGTTAGCACATTACTGCAATGACCCCGAATATCCACAGATCTTCGAAACATGAAATGGTCCCACTTTGAACATTTTGAAATAATCACTCATACAGCGATTGGAGGTGCCACTTAAATAGCCTTTGTTTTCCCTTTTCAAAGAATACTTCCACCTGTGTATCATGGAGTGCACTGCATGTGCATAATGAATAATGATTACATAACTTTCATGAGCACGTATCCATTATTTTGTCTCCGTGTATTTCACAATTTGGTCTGCAATGACCTTTTTCTGCTCATGCTTAGACTGCAACCGTGAACTGGCTCATTGGCCGGGGAAAAATCGTCTATTACTAAAACTTCAATATGATATGTTCAGTTTTTGCAGCGCTGCTTTTGATGTCTTCAACTGGTACCGGTGAAATTTTCAAAATTTGAAATTATTGGAAGTATGCTAACCCGCTTTTTTGTGGGGGGGGGGACCCTGTATCATATGTATATATATGTATCTCTACCAGGGTGTCGATTTGTATCCGTGGTTGGGGGGGGGATGATAGGTGCCAAAATATTTTCGGCAATGGATCAAAGCAACCAAGAGGTAGAAGCGTGTGGCAGGTTGCACCCTCCTCATGCAAGGGCGTAGCCAGGATTTCATTTTAGGGGGGCGGTAGTGAGCACGCAAAGCTAGGGGGTTGGGTGCAGGGAGGGGGGAGTCCCCCCCCCCCCCCCCTCCCCCGCGAAGCGCGGAAGCTTTGACGTTTCATTAACTTATTAGAGAAGGAAGACGATTCGTTGGACCGTTCTCGACTCTTAATCTTTGTTTGAATCAAGTTCCCCTTCCTCCGCGCGTAGCGCGGTAGCTTTGACGGTTCATTAGATTATTAAAGAAAGAAGGCGATTCGATGTACCATTCTTGACTTTTAATCCTTAATGTATGAACAAGTTCCCCTTCCTCCGAGCGTAGCGCGGAAACTCTGAAGTTTCATTAGATTATTAGAGAAAGAAGACGATTCGATGTACTGTTCTCTATATTTTCCCCACATGATGTACGTATGGAACGTTCGTTTGCACATCTTTGCATGCACAGCCCGAATGGTGGTAGCATTTTATCTCCTGGCAGTGCTTGTCGCAATAGCTTCTGGAAAGGATTTGTATACTAGTGTTAGTGTTAACGGCCACTAATTAGGCCCATTAGTGATTATACAAAATATATGCTCTTCCTGGCTATTTGGGAATGTGTCAGTTTGCAACAGAAATGGAGAAACGCGAATTTTGCTGAAAATCATGTGATATCACGAACATTTATAAATCACTTGTATGAAATACGCCAGTTACATAGGCCTACTTCAGCTTTTCAATAAAACAAAAATAAGTTGTGACATAATATTCGTTCTCAAAAAATGAATTTTTGTAGGAAATATCAGGAAATAAAATGAGTAAACAAAATAAAAAATAAGATACAATGACGTGAAATTTTAAAAGGGTGAACGGAAAAAACATAACAACTAGTGAACTATCTTATAAGTCATACTAATGTCCAAAAATCTTTTCTCCTTGTCTCCGATCTCATCACGAATTTGTCACAGAGTTTCTATGTTTACATTATCCAGGATTGTCTGTTGTTGCAGATTGCTACTTTTGCGCTTCGCGCTTAACATTTAGCTCGTTGCTTTTTAACGCTGCGTCTTTGCATTTGGCGCACTGCATTTCTATATGATGCTGTTTATTGAACAAATTGAATAAATTCATCAATTCCTAATGGAGCCGTATGAGCGATAATTCAATTTATTCTTGTCTCATATACGGTTGTCTCATTTACCTCGTATATGTATGTATTATGAAAATGAGATAACAAAATGTGTATATTGACGGTCATCTTGCGAGTAATAACCATTAACTACTCTCATCGGGCTCTCATCATAAATTTTTCTCTTAATTTTTTTTGTGGTGAATTATTGGGGGGATGATTGTACAGGCCATCCCCCCCCCCCCCCACCTGAAATATTGGGGGGATATACATATGGAAACGTTTGCTTGTATTTGTCTCATAAAAGAAGTTAACCCAAACTGACTCCCACACGGTGTTGAGTGCTCAGGGGTCACAGGCCACTGGCTTCATCGGGCAGGTAGTTCCATTATATTAATGGGTAAATTAACTATTAAAAAAGGAGGGGACACATTACATTGTACAATAGGGACACACATTGTTTTTATTGTGCAGAACATACTCTTGTATTGACTTACTTATTGCATGAAACTATAAAACCAAATGCATTTTGTATTCTAACAATTGGAGTATAGAGAATAATAACAGGTGAATAAAATGCATAAACACCACAAACACCTGGGGAGGAAGCATTCATAAATTTGAATACATATAGTTGATAAACGACTCCGATGAAACTATTAAACCAAAATGAAATTTGCGTTCTGGCAATTGGAGTACAAAGAGTGATAGCAGGTGAATGAAATGCTTCAACAACACAAACACCTGGGAAGCTATATAGGAAGCATCCATAAATTTGAATAATTAGTTGATAAACGACTCCGCATGTGGACGTTTGTTGGAGCAGAAAGCAGTGGATTATTAACAACACGAACCCATTTAACAGAATGTCGGAACGTAAATTAAATTTGGTGCGGTTGGAAAATGCATCTTTCTACCCTGCGACTTTAATGGTACGATCCAGTAAATTTAAACAATAAAATGGCTCTTATTTAAAATTACTCATTAAATAAAACCCAAAACTTCAGTGATATCAGAAAAAATATGTTATATCTTACTAATAATTAAAACAGATGTATAAACATTGTGAAAGTGTCGCATTTTACGATAAAAGACACCGATTTAGCGAAGATGACGTCATTAGTGCGCTTTCATCAGGGAATTCAAAGTCAAAAGGTCAATTCAGACGCTGATAAGTTATTTGTCGAGCCTTTTGTTTCCTTTATTCCGACAAAATTATACAATCAATCAAAACAAGTTTAATACCAGAAGAAAGCTAACGATTAGTATTTTCATTAACCGCTTGCCCCAAAGTCGCTTGACCACACTGAAACGAGTGAGAGCTTGCGAGAGCGGCCAAAGTGTGATTGAAACTCGCTACTTGCTCTTCTCCAACGCAAAAAGAGACGACATTGTGCTGGATAAATGTATTTTTTCCGACGGAAGTACAGAAAATTTGCATATGGTCTTTTTATATTATACTTTATGAAATGTTACCCGAGTGACTCCCGGGCGCCCCAATGCTGGAAAGAAACGCACATTTTAGAAAACTTCACTTTTTCATGGAAAAATGCTTATTTGTTCTATGCACGCAAGTCAGATTGAGCGGATGAAACAACGTTTCCATGTGCCCCCCCCCCCCCCCCCATCCCCCCGGGATCGACACCCATGATCTCTACTCTGCAGTTGTTATCCTCAAATCGTTCACCTACCAGAAGACTCATCCATATCCCGCCTGCAATGCGACGGGCGTAGGATCCAAGTAGGAACGTCGCCACTCCTACCAGGGTCGCCCCTACAGCACAGCATAGCTGGATCCACCCCGTCGCTCTGCCGGAGATCCCGTTGTAGGTTTCGGAGCAACCAGTGTGGCGGGAATGGGTTGCTGAGAGATCTGACCCGTTTGTTGATGGTACACCATGGTTGTGTGACCCGGATCTGCGTTTGTAGGTTGAGCCATGATCAGCAGATTTTCAGCTATTTTCAAGAAAAGGGCAATATAGGTCATTCAGTGTGCAGAGTAAATACTCATAATGTATACGTGGATTCAGGAGTGCCGGAAACCCTGCCCTCTTTTTAAAAATTTAACATGAAAATTAATTATTACGTAATAATAGCAAAGATTTGAATCACTCCCCCCCCCCCCCCCCTCAACCTTCCTTTCGTTGGAAGAACCGTAAAATGTTGTTTAGGTGGGCATCCATGGCATCGGTCATTAAGAATCAGAGGCCTTTTGTTCTTATTTATTTTGAGTGCTTGCTCGCTTGTCTGTCTGTCTGAACAAATCTTTCTCCCCTTCGAACCGTTTGGGAGTTTAATTTGTGTATAAACAGACAATATAGATAGTGATAATGTGTAATGTAGACCTGCTAGGGAGAGAGAGAGAGAGAGAAGAAAAAAACAAAGAGGGGCATCGAGATCGAGATAGAGATAGAGAGAGGCAGACAGGTGAGGAACAGGGTTACATGCAGAGAAAGTTTGACAGAAGGAGGAGAAAAAGAAGAAGATTGAAAAAATACTGAGAGAAGAAAAAGATGGAAAGGAGAAACAGAATTAGAAAAGAAAGTCCGATTTTTGAAAAAAATCTTGAAAATGGCTTAGTTTTGAAGAAAAAAAAATACAAATTATGGAATAAGGGGTAGAGTAATTAACTTAGAATAAGTTTGACGAAGAACTTGTTTGCATTTGACCTTCATGGTTTCAATAAAGTGACTAAAATCAAATAAATGATGAATCAAATACACCTAAATATGGATTTATTTTGTTCTAGAAATAAACCATTTTATCGTACTTTTACTTATATAACTCACATCTGCAACTCAATGCAAATAACATTCTATAATACGGTGTTGATTGCACGATTTCCCAGTAATATAAGGGCAATAATACAACATTTAGGATATTAAGTTCATTTGTATGAAAGCAGAAAATTAGGAAAAACAGAATTTAAAATAAATCGGACCAATGACACGGACTTTGAAGGTTTGAAAATGCATGAGATCACTAAGTCTAAATTAATCTCGAATATGTAATTTTGTCGGTGGATTGTGACGAAGTTGTGGAGCAGTAGTGGGTACTACACAAACTATAGATTATAGATAGGTTATTATTGTAGATCCTCTTAAAGAAAGAGACTCCCCTGAGTAACACATTTTCGAAGAGTGATATTTTAGTCATTTTATATGTGAAAACAAATCGAAAAATTTTCTGGCACTACATCTCAGTGAGATCTCAGTGACACTTTGAAGTGGCCATAAATATAGTGATTTCAACTTTAAAAAGTGCACTACTTTCTAATTCTTTGACCTACTGAATTCACTCAAACTTTCGCCAGTCTGCTTTTCTTATTTGTATTGCTTTCTATTAGAGTAGTAGTAGGTTGGACTCTCCTTTAAGCAGATATATATATATATATATATATATATCTACCAAGCGAAACAATTACAGTTACTTTCATGTAAACAATCATGTATCCAGGGCCGTAGCCATGGTTTGATGTTTTTTTTTAGGGGGGGGGGGACATACATGTAATTGATCGACGTCCTTGGGAGGGGTCTAAAAAAGTTCAACCGATCGTGGATTTTTTGAGGGGGGGGGGCACGTGCTATTCCCTACAGGAAGAAAAAGACACGACCTTTCGTTTTGGTCTTTTGTGGTAAGTTATAATGCAACAAAAGCCAAATACACATTTCAAATGTAATTAATGTGTACGCCAACACTTGAAGATTATCACCCCCTTCTCTCTCTCTCTCTCTCTCTCTCTCTCTCTCTCTCTCGCTGTGCGCGTGTGTTTGTGTGTGGGTGTTGTGTGTACCCTATCCCCCTGTCTTTCTCTCCTTTTCTCTTTCTTTCTCTCTCTCTCTCTCTCTTTCTCCGCGTTGCGATGAAATAGCCAAAAGGCACTGTTGAATATATTTACCATGCGATACTTGTACAATAAATATCTATACCACAAATTACTTCGACGCATAACTTTGGTTTCAACATGTTCATAAAGTAAACAGCGAATTAGACTGAAAACAAATATGTCTCAATTTTCAAACTTACCCGTGTATTTAGTTTTCCTTCAATATTTTCTCTCCGTCATCTAGTGCATCAATTTAAATTGTCGACCAGTGGTATTAATGGATTGTGTGTAATCCAACTTTTTCCTGTTTTGAGTGGCGTGTTTCTTACAGTTAATTAGTTCACAGAGCTTCCAAATGTGTGTGCTATTAGGACAAGTGCAATTTCGGAAATGACAGTGTGTGTTTTCTTTCCGGAGCACAATACCAAAGAGTCAACATTAGCTACATACGTTGATGGCGTGAAATCATTTCCTCTATTGAAATCGTTGAGGTGTGAAACCTGTAAAAAATTCGCATACATGTATCCATTCAACCATTTATTGAAAAAACATTTGTAGATGATTTATGGATTTATGAAAGGAAACAAAGTCACAGCTAAAACTGTTGTGCTCTGGCGCCATCACATGTCGGATTCCAATATCTTTGCGAGGGGCACATTGACTTTGATCGTGAGGGCCCGGTTGGGGTACTTCTTTCATTTTAGGAGAGGATTGAGGGTTGGGGTAGTGGTGAGATATCTCCATTCGCTTAATACAAACCGACGATGAAATATCCCGATTTCGAAACTGACTCGCGGTGTTAAGGGGGTAATGCAAAACCAAAGATACAAGCATACGCGCACATGCCAAATAAACAGTTTGTATTTGTTTTGTTTTTCCGTTAGTTGTTTTTTTAATTCATTCAATATAACAACAATATGAATAGTTGTTCAAAATACAATCCTTATTCATCATAATAACATAACTCAATCAGCTTAAAACATGTTCAGTTCTTAAATTACGATCGAAAATATAAATTCAACGAGATAAGTTATCATATAAACAAATTATGACCCCTTCCATTACAACCCCAGCCAAAACGTAACCCACTACCATCTGCAATTCTCTCATCCTTACACGTACAAATCATGGGCGTAAATCCTTACGTAATACCTATTGTTCAGGGGGGATGAACGATGAACAATAGGTATCAATTGCAGATTTACGCCCGTGGTACAAATACACACTCAAATACGTGTACACACCACAATAATATACACTCACACGCAAGAACACCCCCTAACCCCACAGCCCCCCCCCCCCACACACACACACACACACACACACACACACACACATACAAAACACCAAACACATAGCAAGGTTACCTGTTCACATTTGTATTCAGTTCGAATTCGCAGACAACCTGTCTACCTTGATTGCTACGTTATTTTCATCCTCCATAATACCCTACTAATTTTGTGCGTCTTAACTGGAACTAGCCTATCCGATATGCGTCGGGCTTTATAAGTAATCTAATCGCGTTTATATGGAGAGTAACATAGGAGCGGTCAGCCCGAGCGCCTATCATCACTGGTGCATGTGAAAAGTTTTATTTTCTTTTATGTACCATGTTTCGTTCGTAGAAAATCTACGAACCCCCTGCAAAGCTCTTTCATGAATATTTATGTCGCATGGACCAAAATAGGCCAATGAGCGATGGGGAACGCGGAGATGATATTTGATTAGTTGAATCAAAGTGATCGATCACCAAATAAGGCTAGTCTTATGAATCATGCATGAGAATACGCTCGTCACACATATGATACACATATATGAATAATGATGAGTTGACCAGTGATGATAGGCGCTTGCCATTTGCCATTTAGCCCAACGCCTATCGGATAGGCTAAACTGGAACTGGAAGGTAAATGGTTTTCTCCATTGATTAACACAAAAGTATGATACTAAATCACACACCTAATTCTTTTGAAGTGTTTAGAGGGGGATTTAAAAGCACAATGGAATAAGGAAATTTGTATACGAATGCATTAGCACAAATACCCAGAGTCGCCTGGTTAAAATGCGTAGTCACCAAAGCAATTCAGTTAGCAAATAGCACCGTTGAACGAAACATTAAAGAGAAGGTTGAGTTCTGGGAAGAGGTGAAAAACAATTTGTGAGCGTTATCATTGTTATCATGCAAGTGTGAAAGAACATCAGATAAAAAATGTTCCCTGAATAGCATGGCTCGATCTTCAAATAATTTCATATTATAAATATGGCATGTAACAACATAAAAATCGGGACGGATTTTTACGCCTCATGTTCGTGTAGCCCCATATATACATCTTTCTGTGTACAGTGGTGGTAACTTTCCAAAGACTGGGCCAAATTTCTTATCATTTTCATGATTTCAGAACCTTGCAGTACACACCACTACTTGTATGCTAGATGATCAACCTTTTCTGATCGATTCCATACCGTTTCTTTGACAATCAAACCGCATGACCAGTGTTTTTATATAGTAATTAATTCAAGAGCATAATTTCATGATAGGTCAAGCTGTAAAAGATTCGGAAAAGAAAAACCACAAAAAATAAATGTTACACAAATTCCCGAGTAGAATTATCATTTCTAGAGTCCAGAATTATTTTGTTACGACGCTTCAGTTATTAACAAGTCTTTTCTAGAATTAACTCCAAAAAAACTACATAAACTACTAGTCACGCGCATAGAATTAAAGCAACCATATCATGTTTGATACGAACCCCCTTTTTTATAAACATAATGTTATATAAAGATATTGACTGGCAGGGGTATAATATAACATTCTTTGGACCGCTGAGGGAGTTATATTTTCCCAAGTGGTATATTTTCCCGAAGCGCGCAGCGCTAAGGGAAAATATAACTCTCTTCAGGTCCGAAGAATGTTATATACCCCCTGCCAGTCAATATCTGTTTTATTAGATAGCGTTGGTTTGAAAATTTAGGGGGGGATCCTTATTTTGGCGAACGGATTTTTTTTTTTTTCCATTTTTTTTCCATTTTTTTTTTTCGGAGACAAACAGAGAAGAACAAAATTGGAAAAAATAATTACAAGGGAAAAATAGAATTCGAAAGAAAAAAAATCTTAGAAAAAAACATTTTGGGGAAAAACAAAATTCGAAAAAAAAATGACCCTCGGTATTGGTGTAATTTGTATAATAAGGGAGTTTACAGATAGCACATGGTACAAATGACCCCAAATATCCACATATCTTTTACACATGGAGAAGTTCCACTTTGAGCATCTTAGAATAATAACTGCCAAAGTCCTAGATGTGCTTCATGAATACCTTTTGTTTGCCCTCTTGAAAAGAATACTTCCACCTGCGTATCTTAGAATGTACCGTTGGTGCATAAACGAATAATGTTACATAACTTTCATGAGCGCATATCCAGTATTCATCTCTGGTGGGTTTTACCTTTTTGGTACAAAGGACCTTCATCTGCCCATGCGCAGATTGTATCTGTAAACTCCCTTATTGGTCTCATACGGTCCTCAAAAGGGCGACATGCATTGATTAAAAATATATTCATTTCACCAGCTGGTTAATAAAACACTTGAAAGTGACCGGTCAGGAAAATATAACAATTACTACCCTCTCCATTATATCACGTGACGAGCTCTGGACCAAGCGCATATCGGTATCTGTTTAAGCTATATAAATGTTTGTTGACCTGTTCTTTGTTTTTGCGATGAATCTATTTTTTAACAAAATCTTAAACGGAATGTTGGCATTCGAATGATCTGCCTAAAATAACAACAAACGATGTTGGAGGTAGCGTTCAAAATATTTTATATAGAAATTAATTTTTACATAAAAAATTATGTATGTTTCTCTCTCTCTCTCTCTCCCGCTGTCTCCCTCCCCTTCTCTCTCTTTCTCTCTCTCTCTCTCTCTCTCTCTCTCTCACACACACACACATACGCACACAACCACATGCAGCATACTTGCACTAGGCTCACTTTCCCTTCCCTTTTTTCACTCTCTCTCTCTCTTTCTCTCTCTCTCTCTCTCTCTCTCTCTCTCTTTCTATCTCTCGATCTCCCTGTCTTTGTCCCTTTCATATCTCATCCTTGTTTCCTTCCTTTCATTTCTCTTTCTTTGTCCGTCTCATATCTCATCATCGTTTTTCTTCCTTCCATTCCTCTCTCATTCTTGTTTTTTCTCTTTCTAATGTTCTCTCTATCCCTCTTTTTCTTAATGTCTCTCTGTCTTTCCCTCCATTCCTTTCTCTGTCTTGGTTACTCTACCTCTCCCTTTTTCTCTCTCTGTCGTCAAATTTGCGATGGTGGATTAATGCCAATTGACCAAAATATAAGAATTTATTGTAAAGATGATACGTTTACCGCAGGCTCTACCTCGGTGAATGATACAACAGACATTGGATATAAAAGTACGAACCCTGTATTACAAATTTTGATTGCTTGGATGATTGGTGGGGGGTGGGTGATCGGGCGATGATTGGTGGGGGTAATTGGTGGGGGTGGATGCGACATGAATCTTAAGCATACAGACATATTGAAAGCGGCCTTTTGCCTTCTTTTAGCAACACCTTTTATATCAATTTCATACTTTTTTTTCCATTCATTTACGTCCATAAAATTCGTAATCTTGCATATCTGATAGTCAATTTCGGTCAATCACTTTCGACCTTTGTCCAATTACCATCAGTTTGCATCCTATTTCGTTAATGTCAAAGAACGTTCCTCATCTTTGGCTGCCCACGTACAATCGCATGAATCATTTCATCACTTGCAATCTATTTCGTCAAAGCGTCATTCAAATTTAAAACTAATTTGTTACAAGGTCTTATTTGATTATCACATTCTGCAGCGGACCGCCAGGTGCGACGAATTTGAATGAAATCTGACGAAAATTCTTAGGACAAAACAGAAGTACTCAAGATGAATGTGAATGAAAAAAGTGTTAAAATTGACAGGAAATCCTATATTTAGATAAATGAGCTTATTAGATAGTGAAAATATTCTAGTAGATAATTCTTTACATTTTTCTAATTTTCTCTACGAGGATTTTGTAATCACATGAACTTCCGGTCAATACGGGCCACACAGTATGGACTCATACTTCAATAGCAATAGGACTAAGAATGAGAAAATGTTGTTTTGCCTTAATCTCTAATGATCTAAATTTATTTAAGATGTAGACCTTCGGAATCTTCAAATATGTGACCTCGCTGTATATTAAGGAAACTGTTTAAGATTACTGACAGTAGCGCACAAACCTGCCTTGTGTAAAAGACACTTGTGTTGCAGCGCGCCCAATTTGACTCCTAAAGAATTTCTTCAAGCGCTGGCCTTTGCCAATGCTGGTATTTACTTTTTATTAATAAATATGCTTACTGCTTGTGTGTTCTTCCAACATTGTAACTATCGAGCAAGATCTAGAATATCAGATAAAAAAAGAATACGTGTTTTAGAATCTCCAGAAGTATAGGAGGAAGGGCAATGCATAATGGGAATGTTTAATGCTTTATGCGGTAGCGAGAATTGACGGACCTTAACAACAAGAAAAAACCCGCTTTAGACAGCTTTCACTGGATAACATCCTCTGTCAATGATGATGCAAACAAAATGTTCATACTGGTAATTTTAATTCCTATTTACTATGTATTGCAGACTCGGAAAATGTTGATATTTGTATATATATTATATAATAAGATTTAAAAAATAATGTAAAAAGACATGAAAGACTAGAAGAAAAAACGCGCCAGGAGTGTCAAGTCTGACAGACGTGAGCACTATACAAGAACCCACTATTATTATTTGTATTATTATTATTATTAATAATAATTAAGAAACAAATAAATTTTAGACATTTTGGATCTGGAATCACAGTGGTATGTGGCAGAATGATGATGAAGATATATTCTTATTTAAAATTCATTTTCATTTCAATTCATGTTCTTTCAATTAACAAATAACATTATCACATAATTGTCTTAGCACTTCTGAATCTGGAATTGGCGTTCATTTTGGAGTGAAAGCAAATGATCTTTGACACCAGCATATACATATTTTTCATAGGCCTGCAGTGTTGTTACTGCGTTATACAATATTTAGAATATATTATGAAAAATGGAAAGGTCATACCCCACATGACCATAATTCTAAAGAGGGAGCAATTATATTGCAATTTTATAGTGTAACTGTACAATAATTTTCAGCTGCAGCTTCCTACATTTCCAGCATTGTTCAAAGAAAAATCAGCCGATGAGGAATGGATTGACGATTTTCATTTTAATCTTTGATGCGGCAGATGGGCCGTTTGTCCTGGGTTTTATCTCCCTTGGTTGTTTGGAAGGATAAGGGGCTGGTAGAATTGGTCCGGGTTAGTCTGTTGTGGTATAGCGTTAGTCTCCTGCTGTGGATGTGTTTGCTGATGCTGGAATGTCTGTTGATTTGGGAAGGCCTGCTGGGGCAAGTGAACTTGTTGCGCTGTGGGTGTCTGTTGCGGTAAAATAGACTGCTGCTGTGGATAAGTCTGCTGATGCGGGAATGTCTGTTGGTGTGGGAATGTCTGCTGGGGCAACTGAACTTGTTGTGGTGTGGGTGTCTGATGTTGTATACGAGTCTGCTGATTCGGGAACGTCTGTTGCGGTACGTGAATCTGTTGTATACGAGTCTGCTGATTCGGGAACGTCTGTTGTGGTACGTGAATCTGTTGTATACGAGTCTGCTGATTCGGGAACGTCTGTTGTGGTACGTGAATCTGTTGTGGCGTGGGTGTTTGTTGCTGTATACGAGTCTGCCGCGATGGATTAGTGTGCTGATGTGGGAATGTTTGTTGCGGTACGTGAATCTGTTGCGGTGTGGGTGTCTGTTGCAGTTGCTGTTGGGCGTCGCTGTAAGGAGGTGGTTGGTCCGTGGGAACGTACGACAAACCCTGTTGATCTAGAAATATGAATATAAAACATTGCTGTGTGTAGCTTCTAGACTGCAAATTCCTACCCCCCTCCCCCCCCCCCCCCCCCCCCTCTATCCATTTTAGAAAGATTTTGGTGATGATGATGAGTGATTCTTAACGTCCTTTTCCTCTAAACTTATGTTTCTGGTATTATATTTATTTCTAGTTGTAGAAATACAACACTGTTTCACTGACCTACATGTACATACATGCTGGTGATTAGTACAAACGTCATTATGGTATTTAAGTCAGGGGACTTCACAATAAAGTCAAAATGAAGTTATCTCGCAATTGTCAAATGCTATACCCTCCCCAATTCAAAACTTATTGATGTTTATCATTAAGGCTTTACTTACGTGTTGAGACAATCGCAGGGTATTGGTTGACCTGCAGTAAAAGGAAAAGTAAATAAATTCTTTTCAATTGATACCTCCATACTTTTTCTTGAAGTGGGAGCTCCATGAGAAACAAAACAATACATTTGTTACAAGCCCATTTGTTTGAAGTAACATAATACTGATTTACAAATCTGCATAAGTTATGAAAATTACATTGGCTTTAGTAAATATAAAAGCTGATAACATGAAAAGGTTCAATTCTAAGAATGATAATCCTATAATTTTCAGAACCTTTCCAGCAAAGAACGTTTAGACTTGTCAAGAATATTTATTTATCTGGACAAATATATCCGACGTGTAGAAACTCTTTTTATGCAATGTTTGAAATATTGTTCCTTTAAAGCTGTTGTAACCTGGGTTATCTTAAAGTAATATCTTGTTTTCTTACCACGTTAAAGCCTTGCAGTGGTCTTGACGATTTTGGGGTGCAACACACTCCGGAACAGCCGTAGACTGATCCTACAATAGCAACTATCAACTCGATCAACCCGATTACACTCATGATAGCATCCGAGGCAGTTCGAGACTCCTGCCAATAGAAAAGGGTAAATTTGACTCTGCATAACTCGAAGTCGCACAACCCGAAATTTCATTTAGTCGAATCAAATATTTGTCTTCTTCCAAATTATGCAAAACCGACTGAAAACAAACTTTAATTGGTTTGGATAATCATAACATGTACTTTAGGCTTCTACCAACCAACCTTTTAAAAACAAAACACAACTCAGTCAGCAGTATCAGAATACGCCCTCAATACTGGACATTAATATTGGTCCCCATATTATTGATTCTGAAACGCACCATTTGGTCGAAAAAGGTAAACAAAATCCATTTTAATAAGCAGTATTAATCCTTCACTGAATAATGACTCTGGCTGTTCCCTGTCACCTCTACCTTCGCTCCAGTGATCTTGAGGCACAAGATATCAAGTGGGAATGGCTTGGGAAAGTTCACAAGAGTGGGTGAACTCTTGCAAAATAAATGTTTAAGGTTGGTAGATTCTCAAACTACATGTTAAGCAAAAGATGTTTTATTTACACTTCCTAAGTAAAATTTTACTTTCAACCTTGGCCTGTGGCCTCGGTGAAATATAACAGAATTCGGAAAATTCTGAATTTCTCGGTTCATATATTTATATGAAATTGGCTGCCCTTTAGAGGGTTATCAGAAATATTGCATTCAGCCTGCGAATATTGCACGCGTAGAAGACGAATGCAACATTCATGCCAGCTAAATGAAATTTATCCGATGTACTACGAAATAAAGGCGATATTTTTAGATATCTACATTAGAAATTGAACTACAGTGAAATTTAAAGGATCGAAAAGATCAATTTACTTCCAATGACGATCGATACACGACATAAAACAAAAAGTGCCATGGCAATTTTCCAATCAGATAATATCTCGACTAGTCTGAAAGCAAGATCTGGCTAATCGAAATGTAAGATGATCCAAGTTTTTAATATGAATTAGTGATTTAACACAATACTAGAAACGCATTTTACTTACAAATCTTTTGTTTAAATGTAATTTTGATATTACATGGAGTTTATTGTCATACTACAGCGATTTAAACCGACATGCACAAGCAGCTCTTATTCTAAAAATATTGAACTCGATCAAAGAAAGGGAATCAAATACATAATTTTATTTTCTGGGAAAAGAGTATAATGATAATTCAATATATAGAACACCGTGGCATGCACAATTATATAACACAATATGATGTGATATAACGTAATATAACATAACAACATCATAAATGTAATATAATATAAAATGATATATGATATCATATAATACAATATCATATAATAAGATATAATAAAACATAATACCATTTACTATCATATAATATAACTGCAAAGGGGATGAGCCAAATTATGTCAATCCATAACACCAAAATAATCTATTATGATTATATGATTTAACCTCAATTCTTACGTATCTTTATATCCAGTAATTTCATAATTATTTTCTTTGTCTCCAGTCAATTATATCCGAGTCACGCTTTTAACTATACGTTTAATTTAAATTTGTTGAAATGTATTTTACCTTATCTATGAATACATGGTTTTTTCAGCCTCCCCCCCCCCCCCCTGCACATTATTATGTGCTAGTTATGTTACCCTGCCTGAGGAACTTATACTTTCATTTGTAAAACTCGGTCCTGGGTTATTCATGTTCATTCTTTGTAAAAAATAAACATGAATTGATAAAGTGATATAATATCATATGATAATAAATAATAACATATAAGATGATTTAATATAATATATGATAAATAGTATGAGATGATATGATATAAGATAATATGATATCATGATACAAGATTATATAATCTAAACTATTTACCACTAAACCTTCTTTACAGGGTATCGTCCCTGACTGTGCGTAGCATCCAAATGATCCACTAATTGGAGCACCTATGGCCCCAATGATCATCATGAAAAATGCAAAGATGGCGGAGAACACAGACATTGTGATGTAAGCTGATATCTATCAAAATACGAAGATAAAAATGACTCAAATTCTTAACAAAGCCGACGGGGTTACACCTTCTGTGTTACAGATTTATAATGAAAAATAAATAATCTCGATGAAGATGATGATAATTATAATAATGACAATAGTACTGATGATAGTAAAATGTTAAAGGTAAAGACCAGTATTGGAAACGCCCCAATTTCAAAAAATGAAATGGAAGCTCTCATTACCAATCATGTGAAAGAATATGTTTTGACTAATACATGATGATAAAAAATTTGCCGGGAAACCGCCTACTAATTCATATATTTGGTAAATTTGTTTCTCTCATGGTCTGTGAGAGATATAGGGTAGTCCCATATACATCTTTCTGTGTATAGTGCTTGTAACTTTACGAAGAATGGGCCAAATTTCTTATCATTTTGATGATTCCAGAACCTTGCAGATGCTAGACGCTAGATGATCAACCTTTTCTGATCGTTTCTTTCACAATGCAATCGCATGACCATAACTGGTCTTTACCTTTAAGAGTAATAATCATTTTATCATAATGAGGATCTGTTGCCGATTTTTTTTTTCTTCTTAAATAACATATCAAAACGTTTGGGTCACTGAAAAGTGCTTGTTTTATTAGCAAATGTTATATATACGGAGTACGACATATTTTGTCTATATTGACTCGTATAATACGACAAAGATTATGTTCTTTCTAGTAAAGCAAACCAATTACAATTTCATTGTGATTTACTACAGTAATTTATTGTTTGAGGTAGTAAATTTACTATTATTTTCAGCTCGTTTCTGTGTAGAATCAACGGTTCGGGCGACAGAGCTTTATTACCATGTCACAATTTGGCATACCGCCCTCTTGCAACTAAATTAGATAAGAAAGAAGAAACGAAGACAATAAGAAGAAAGGTCAAACCTTCGCGTCATAGTATGAAAGCTTTTGGATCTCTTTACTTCATATAAACAAATAGATATGGAAGTTAATTATTTATGTCAATACAATATCCCTTTACTGTAATGAACATTGCAAGGATTACGTACCACACACGTTCTTTTTCTGAAACTAACAATACCAAGTACTCCAGCAGGTCCAAAGCACTGTAAAATAAATACGGAAACAAACAGTCGATGGCGTCTTTCATTAACAAACTTCTGTCACTAACTTGTAATGGTTAATAAAAACACGGGCAAGCAATATTTAAAGATTGAGATTTGGATGTTTGCATATTGGAAATGAATAATTATAAAAAATGATAAATAACATTGGTAATAAATGAAAAACAAAAAGAAGAAGAGGAGGAAAAGGAATGAGAAGTAGTAGTAGTAGTAGTAGCAGTAGTAGAAGCAGTACGGGGAAGGGAGTAACAGCAGTATTAACACGGTCGCGTCGTTCGTAATCGTATTATACCCGATTTTCTTTGATGTCTTCAACTGGTCCTGGTGAAATTTGCCCCTTATTATTGGAAGAATGCTAACTCGCTTTTTTTGTGGGGGACCCTGTATCATATCACTACTTTGCAGTTGTTAACCTCAAATCGTTCACCTACCAGAAGACTCATCCATATCCCGCATGCAATGAAACGGAGCGAGGATCCAAGTAGGAACTGCGCCACTCCTATTAGGGTCACTCCCACAGCACAGCATAGCTGGATCCACCCCGTCGCTCTGCCGGATATCCCGTTGTAGTTTTCGGAGCAACCAGGCGTGACAGGAATAGAATGCTGAGAGATCTGACCCGCTTGTTGATGGTACACCATATTGGTGGTGTGACCCGGATCTGCGTTTGTAGGTTGAGCCATGATCAGCAGATTTTCAGCTATTTTTTAAGTAAAGGGCAATAAAGGTCATTCAGTGTGCATCGTGAAGACTCCTATGTATATTATGGATTCATGAGGGCCGGAAGCCCCGCCCTCTTTAAAAAATATTACATGAAAATTAATTATTACGTAATTATAGCAAAGATTTGATTCACAAATGAAAATGGCTTAGTTTTGAGAAAAAAATACAAATTATGGAGTAAGGGGCAGAGTAATTAGCTAAGAATCAGCTTGACGAAGAACTGAACTTAAAAGTATACATACAGAAAATTGTTTTTTGAATAACAATATAAGAAAAGGAATGTAAATATAAGCATACTCATTCCTAGGATATTTAAATCTTGATAAATATGAGATATCTAATATTTCTAAGGCACCTCATAACTTACATTCCAACAAAGCACACGAAGGACGTATAAAGTGTAACTTTCGGCTAACCAGAAAGGATTGGATCAAGAAAAATTTATTCGAGGAACTTGCTCAGTGACTTTTGGAGTGATTTTAAACTTGTATTCCATAAGTTCAATGATGGCATCCCTCCGTACACGTACTCATTTTAAATGTATTTTCAGCACCAAAAAATACTATGTGTTTGTTGTATATTGGTTTGAATCGTTTACTTAGTGTATCGAGAACATGTCAGCATTTGACCTTCATGGTCTTAATAAAGTGACTAAAATCAAATAAATGATGAATCATATACAACTAAATATGAATTTATTTTGTTCTAGAAAATAACCCGTTTTATCATACTTTAACTTATATAATTCACATCCGCAACTCAATGCCAATAACATTCTATAATGCGGTGTTGAGTGCACAATTTCCAAGTAATATAAAGGGCAATAATACAACATTTAGGATAAGTTCATTTGTATGAAAGCAGAAAATTAGGAAAAACAGAATTTAAAATAAATCGGAGTTTTGAAGGTTTAAAAATGCATGAGATCACTAAGTCTAAATTAATCTCGAATATGTAATTTTGTCGGTGGATTGTGACGAAGTAGTGGAGCAGTAGTGGGTATTACACAAACTATAGATTCTAGATAGGTTATTATTGTAGATCCTCTTTAAAAAAAAAAAAACTCCCCTGAGTAACACATTTTTTAAGAGTGACATTTCAGTCATCTTGTATGTGAAAACAGATTGAAAATTTGTCTGGCACTACATCTCAGTGAAATCTCAGTGACATTTTGAAGTGGCCATAAATGTAGTGATTTCAACTTTAAAAAGTGCACTGCTTTCTAATTCTTTGACCGACTGAACTCACTCAATCTTTCTCCAGTCTGCTTTTCTTATTTGTATTGCTTTCTATTAGAGTAGTAGTAGGTTGGACTCTCCTTTAAGCAGATATATATCTACCAAGCGAAACAATTACAGTAACTTTCATATAAACAATCATGTATCCAGGGCCGTAGCCAGAGTTTGATGTTTTGGGGGGGGGGCACATACATGTAATTGATCGACGTCTAAAAAAGTTCAACCAATCTTTAATTTTTTTAGGGGGCACGTGCTCCCCCCCCCCCCCCCCCCCGTGGCTACGCGCCTGCATGTATCATAATGTGAATGTGGTCATTGATATTTTCCTTCCCGCAGAAACAGGATGTGGTAGCCATGGTCAATTTGCTTGGTATAGCTTTGAACAAATAAAAGCAGTACGAAGGTTTTTATTCTTTTCGTGCAATTCATATCACTACAGAATGTTTCAAGTTCAGCTTTGAATTAGGCCTAGGTTCTTACAAGCAAGAGTGAACTTTATCTTCTAAAATGTGTAACAAAAATAGGAGACAAAATGATCATGATTTTGGAGCAAAGGAATATCTTTGTGACAAAATATTAGTTAAAATGCATGCTCCTGAAGTTGCGGTTTGTTTATTTCGGTTCGCAATGTCTAGTTAAGCAGTGATTTCAGACATATGTATACCTATAACGCTAATTTATGCATCCGTAAACACGTAAACATCGATTTTGTTCGAATTCTAATTGATGTTGATTGTTACGCAAGAGCAAAGCTTGCCTTGTACATGCTAAAAAAAAACCTTGACCAACAATACTTGAAGTCTAAAGTTCTGAACACGTTCTTGCGATAAATATCTGAATTATTCTCAATCTTTCTTCAGGTTTCTATAACTGAATACGATTTATGTGGGCTCACAGTGAGTTTAAGAATCTATATGAGGCAATTTACATAGGCCTGCCCATTTTCAATAGGACGGCCGCTAGGTTATTCAAATTTGATGCTCTATTTCAAAAGGTCATTTCTTGCCATTAACACTGTAATCGTTGTTGTAATGCATTTGACGGTAATCCTCAAATATTCTTCTCACGGAAAAAAACGTGACCCATCCAAACTATGCTGGTACCGTGTATATCCAAATATATCCAGAGGCAGATATAGGTTCACATTTGATATGGACGGACTATTCCCTACATGAAGCAAAAGACACGACCTTTCGTTTAGGTCTTTTGTGGTAAGTTATAATGCAACAAAAGCCAAATACACATTTCAAATGTAATTAATGTGTACGCCAACACTTGAAGATTATCACCCCCTTCTCTCTCTCTCTCTCTCTCTCTCTCTCTCTCTCTCTCTCTCTCTCTCTCTCTCTCTCGCTGTGCGCGTGTGTTTGTGTGGTGGTGTGAGTGTGTGTGTGCGTGTGTGCGTGTGTGTTTGTGTGTGGTTGTTGTGTGTGCACAGTATCCAAAGAATATTTATGAAATAGTAGAAATAGAAATAGTGAAATAGTATATTTGAAAAATAAAGATGAAATAGCCAAAAGGCATTGTTGAATATATTTACCATGCGATACTTGTACAATAAATATCTATACCACAGATTACTTCGACGCATAACTTTGGTTTCAACATGTTCATAAAGTAAACAGCGAATTAGACTGAAAACAAGTATGTCTCAAATTGCAAACTTACCCGTGTATTTAGTTTTCCTTCAATATTTTCTCTCCGTCATCTAGTGCATCAATTTAAATTGTCGACCAGTGGTATTAATGGATTGTGTGTAATCCAACTTTTTCCTGTTTTGAGTGGCGTGTTTCTTACAGTTAATTACGTCACAGAGCTTCCAAATGTGTGTGCTATTAGGACAAGTGCAATTTCGGAAATGACAGTGTGTGTTTTCTTTCCGGAGCACAATACCAAAGAGTCAACATTAGCTACATACGTTGATGGCGTGAAATCATTTCCTCTATTGAATTCGTTGAGGTGTGAAATCTGTAAAAAAAAAAAAAAATCGGCATACATGAATCCATTCAACCATTTATTGAAAAACCGCTTGTAGACGATTTTAGGATTTATGAAAGGGAATAAAGTCATTGAAAAGCATAACAGCTCCATAAAATCAATTTAACAAGGCTACGCTGTGGACACAGCTAAAACTGTTGTGCTCTGGCGCCATCACATGTCGTATTCCAATATCTTTGCGAGGGGCACATCGCTTTTGATGATGACGGCCCGATAGGGGTACGCCTTTCAGTTTAGGGGAGGTGGGAGGGTTGGGGGTATAGAGTATCAAAGCTGTGACGTCATTTTTTTTAAATTTATTTATAGATTATTTCTTTTAATAGAATTTCTCAATTTTTTCTTCATTTCTTCCTAACCATTACGAGCCAGAGCAAATAACACTGAGTTCCTATAGGACATATATTCATTCAGATGGTCATATATCAGCCAATACTTAACATATTCAATTGGTTTAGACATTTGGACGTTATTTTTGATACTCTTTCAGAAAATAAAGAAAAAATTGAGAAATTATGACGTCACACTTCACCACTCTATTGGTGAGATATCTTCATTGGCTTATACAAACTGACGATCACAATCCCGTTTTCGAAACTGACTCGCGGTGTTAAGGGGTAATGCAAAACCAAAGATACGAACATGCCCAATAAACTGTTTGTATTTGTTGTTCATTTATTTTATTTTTAATTCAATATTACAACAATATACATAATTATTCAAAATACAATTCTTATTCATCATAATAACATAACTTTATGCAAATAAAGTCATGAAAATCACATTTTTACCCATAAATCATATATTATTCATATTTAAGCATTCTTTTTCACTACATATATTCATTAGACCATTCTGAATAATAATACGACAAAAAAAATTGGAAGAGCCAGCTTATCCCTTGTTTTGATAATTTCTTATGTGTTTCATTGTGTTTTTAACTTATGTATTTCATTGTTTTATTTCATTTTTTACTACAATTCAACTATATTGACTTAAAAAACAACTACCTAAACTTTAAACAAGGCCCAATAACCCATGTTTGATCTGTTTTTAGGAAAAATGACTTTTCCATATGTTTTGTACACAAATCACGAAAATGAGCGATTTTCGGGCTGACATGCAAAGACAAAAGGTCACGTGAGTGACGTGACCTTGTAACCGTAGGTCCGATTTTCAAAAAAATTATTTCAACAGTTGCGCAAGACTCGAAAGAAAAAAGTCAGCGAGCGGCGGGGCACCATCCATATGCGTTCCCGAGCAATCGGAAAAATCATGGAGGCCCTCCCCCCCCCCCCCCCCCCGGCCTTATTAGGGTTAACACATGTGCAATTCTTAATTTACGATCGAAAATATAAATTTAATGAGATAAGTTATCATATAAAACAAATTATGACCCCTTCCTTTACAATCCAAGCAAAAACGTAACTCACTACCATCTGCAATTCTCTCATCCTCACACGTACAAATACACCCTCCCGTACGTGTACACATCATAATAATATACACTCACACGTAAGAACACCCCCTAACCCCAAAGTCCCCCCTCCCCCCCCCCCCCCCCACACACACGCACACACACACATACACAACATCAAACACATAGCAAAGTTACCTGTTCACATTTGTACTCAGTTCGAATTTGCAGACAACCTGTTTACATTTGCTATGTTATTTTTATCCTCCATATAATACCCTAATAATTTTGTGCGTCTCAACTGGAACTGGAAGGTCAATGGTTTTCTTCCATTAATCAACACAAGAGTATGATACTAAACCACACACCTAATTCTATTCGAGTTACCCGACAATTCTAAAATATATCTCGCCGTTAAATATCCCTTAATTTAACCAAATTGAAGTGTTTAGAGGGGGATTTAAAAGCACAATGGAATAAGAAAATTTGTATACGAATGCATTAGCACAAATACCCAGAGTCGCCTGGTTAAAATGCGTAGTCACCCTTGCAATTCAATTAGCAAAGCACCGTTCAACGAAACATTAAGCGTAACTATGTAGTAATTAATTCAAGAGCATAATTTCATGATAGGTCAAGCTATAAAAGATTACTTAAAGGTAAAGACCAGTATTGGAAACGCCCCAATTTCAAAAAATGAAATGGAAGCTCTCATTACCAATCATGTGAAAGAATATGTTTTGACTAATACATGATGATAAAAAATTTGCCGGGAAACCGCCTACTAATTCATATATTTGGTTAATTTGTTTCTCTCATGGTCTGTGAGAGATATAGGGTAGTCCCATATACATCTTTCTGTGTATAGTGCTTGTAACTTTACGAAGAATGGGCCAAATTTCTTATCATTTTGATGATTCCAGAACCTTGCAGATGCTAGATGCTAGATGATCAACCTTTTCTGATCGATTCCACAATGTTTCTTTCACAATGCAATCGCATGACCATAACTGGTCTTTACCTTTAAAGAAAACCACAAAAATAAATGTTACACAGTTTCCCGAGTAAAATTATAATTTCTAGAGTCCATAATTATTTTGTTACAACGCTTCAGTTAATTATCCATATCTTTGTTAAGTCTTTTCTAGAATTAACTTTAAAAAATGCATGAACTACTAGTCACGCACATAGCATTAAAGCCACCATATCATGTTTGATACAAACCACCTTTTTTAAACATATTATGATACAGGTATTGACTGGCAGGGGGTGTAATATTAAGGATATATTGACTGCTTTGAGAGGCATAGTGGTTTCTATAGGGTCAAGGGAAACTCACAACCTGCTATGACCCCAAGGCGCTTGCGCCGCGGGGTCATAGCAGGTTGTGAGTTTCCCGAGACCCTATAGAAACAACTATGCCTCGAATATTAAAAGCAGTCAATATATATTTTATATACCGAAAAAAGGAAAATGTTGACTCATCCATTTAGGTTTCCATCTCTTTGAAGTCATGAATATTAACACCATCGCACAAAAGAAACTTATACGGTAACACGTAAACCAAAATGGGGATCGCAGCAAAATGACGTCACGTTTCACAGCCATGGAAAAAGTGCTATGAAAAATGGATATAAACCGGTAGAGCCGGGAAAAATGACTATGAATTTCAATTAGCGGGCATGGTTAAGAACATGACTGCATTTTCAACCAATCAGAAGACAGGATTAGTAAAGAATCTTAAAATGAGGTATATAAAACATTCTTTGGACCGCTGAAGGGAGTTATATTTTCCCAAGTGGTTATATATATATATATATAACTCTCTTCAGGTCCGAAGAATGTGATATACCCCCTGCCAGTCAATATTTGTTATATTAGATAGCCTTGGTTTGAAAATTTAGGGGGTTCCTTTCTGTTGCCCGAAATTTTTTCTATTTTTTATTTTTTTTAAATAAAGACGAGGGGGGAAAAAATTCGGGGGGAAAAATGACCCTCGGTATTGGTGTAATTGGTCTTATACAGTCCTCAAAAAGGCGACATGCATTGATTAAAAATATATTCATTTCACCAGATGGTTAATATAACATTGGAAGGTGACCGGCCAGGAAAATATAATAATTACGACACTCGCAATTGATATCCCGTGACGAGTTCTGGACCAATCACATCTCGGTATCTGTCAAAGGTATATAAATGTTTGTTGATCGGTTTGTTTGTTTTTGCGATAAAAGTATTTTTAACAAAATCTTAAACGGAATATTGGCATTCGAATGATCTGCCTAAAATAATAGCAAACGATGTTGGAGGTAGCGTTCAAAATATTATAGGCCTATATCGAGATTAATTTTTAATAAAAATAGCGTTCTAGTTGTTTTCTGTGTCACTCACGCCATCTAGTCCATCTCTGTCAGTTTCTGTCCCTGACTTTCTGCCTGTGTGTGTGAGTGTCTCTCTCTTTCTCTTTCTCTCCACCTCTCTCCCTCCCTTCCCCTCTCTCTCTGACACTCACACACGCACACACACGCACAAGCACACACACGTACACACAACCACATGCAGCATACTTGCACTCTCTTTCCCTTCCCTTTTCTCTCTATCTCTCTCTCTCTCTCTCTCTCTCTATCTATCTTTATCTATCTATCTATCTCTCTCTTTCTTTCCCTCCCTCACTCCCCTTTTCTCTCTCTCTCTCTCTCTCACTCTCCCCTTTTCTCTCGCTCTCTCTCTCTCTCTCTCTCTGTGTCTCTCGATGTTGGTAGAGGATCGTCGCGATGTGGGGTGAACATCTCGTTCTTCTTATAAATTATACAATGCGTTGATTAGGAAATCGCGCGTTCTTTGTTTCGAACAAACAGTGCAAAATATCCATCCCTCAATTCCCTTTCCTGCGACACAGTCTCCATAGCAACACTTTAGGATATGCGCTTGGCATATTATTGGACGCCAAAACTATTGGAGCATAGACGCTGTTTTTTGCTTCTTTTTTTTTTTTCTTTTTTTTTTGGTTGGTTCTTTTTTTCCTGGTGCGGCGCTGACCATGTCTTTATAATTTGTCGCAAACAAACATCACAGTGCACGGAGACATGCATGATTGATGTTGTTATTCTCTTTTATATTCGCAGTTTGCTCCTCTCCCTCGTCCCTGGCGTAGCTACGGGGATACAGAGGGGCTCATGACCCCCAACCACTCCCGAAATCGCATGGTGGGGGGGGGGGAGGGAAGCTGAGAGGGTGAAAGAAACAAAGAAGTGTATTAAGGTAACTTGAAGAAGAAGAAAAAAGTCAAGAGAATAGTCCAAGTGAGGGCTTCGTCTTAAACCTTTCCTTAGTAGGTGGCCTTTGATAATTCGCACTTCGTATGACGAGTGCCCCCTACTCCTTCGATGCCTGGACTCCAGCAGCTTGGACTGTTCCGACTTGTTCATATGCTAATACTGTAATTTGGGGGCTGGTAATTCTTTTCCAAAAAGAGAAGAA